TTCATCTGTGAAAGACACACACACACTCATCTGTCACTGTAACTTCATTAGACGCTGACGAGAGGCCGGAGACACACACACACACACACACACACACACACACACTCTTCAAACAATATTAGATACGAAACAATATTTAAGCTTCAAGTAAATATTTCTAATAAAACAATATTCTGCCGTGTCCCGAATATGAGGCCGCTGTGATGTCAATATTTACTCTGATTTGTCAGATGGATTTTAAATAATTGATTAGTTTATTACAAGGCCAGGGTTAGTGGCTAGACTAGTTTGTTAGGAATAGTTATTTTACAGCTGATTAGTTTAGTTCTGTTTGATACATCTTTAAGAACAAACACTGCTGCATTTTCTTTACTTCCAATCATATCAAAATCATATCATCACCTCCTGTGCAACATTTTGTTCAGTTATAAATGATTGACTATTTCAGAACAAAAAGAACCCGGTAAGTACAGAAAGTCATATATACATTCATTTTTAAAATAAATTAAAATTTTATTCAGCAAAGATGCAATAAATTGATCAAAAGTGATAGTAAATGCATCTGCAATGTTACAATATTTCAAATAAATGCTGTTCTTTTGAACTTTCTGTTCATCTGTGAATCCTGAGAAATAAAATGCATCACAATTTCCACAGAAATATTGTGCAGCACAACTGTTTTCAACATTGATAATAATAAGCAATGTTTCTTGAGCAGCAAATCAGCATATTAGAATGATTTCTGAAGATCATGTGACACTGAAGACTGGAGTAATGATGCTGAAAATTCAGCTGCGCATCACAGAAATAAATGGCATTTTAACAGATATTTACATAGAAAACAGCTATTTTAAATTGTAATAATATTTCACAATGTTACTGATTTTACTGTATTTTTGTTGAAATAAATGCAGTCTTTTTTTTTGCATTTTTTAAATCTAATTTGATGTAAAAATGTTCTTACTTTCTCACATAACATCTGGAGCTCTAGGTGTTTTTGTTTAAGGAATAATATGCTCTCTGACTGACAGCTGTCAATCAAATCTGATTGAAAGCACAAAAGCAGAATCTTTCATCTCAAACAGCCCCAGCTCCAGTAGATCAGACCAGTTCTGAGCGGATCCGGATTTTGATTTTAGCGTCTTACAGCACTGAAATCCTGGTTTTGGTGGTCTGGTGGAAGCTGGTTCTGAGTGGTTTTGGACTCTGTGCTGGTTCTCACTGTGCTTTGTTTTCACTGTAATCCAAACTAGTTAAGCTAGGTTATCTGTCATGCTAATGAGGCACATTAAACTGAAATTGTCTAGAAGACATGCTACTGCTCAGAGGTTTCTCTTTCAGTTCTCCGTTGTGTTTTATTGGAGTATCAGCTTTTTCTCAAGTGTTTCGCTTGAAATTCTTTAGGTAAAATAAAAACAGACTCAAATGAGTGAGTAGTTGTCATCCAGTAAAAGTTTAAAGCTATAAAAATAGAAATGTTTGAGATCTCAGACTCCTGCTCGCAGACTTTGGGATCTTGGCAAATCTGAGGACAGTTGGAGACACATTGAGATCTCATCTAAAACTCTGTACGTTACAAAAAATTACAGAAATTATTTTCAATCATAATATTGCTAGTAAATTTCACAATGAATTACAAAGAAACGTCATGAAACACATTTAATTAAACAATACATTTTGAAGTTGAAAGACTGAAATGGTATTTTCTTGTAAAATGTGCTCTAATAATTGTATTTATTTATTTATTTTATTTTTTACAGTGCGTTTAGAGACATGAAACTACTAGAGTGTATTTCTCAGAAGACTAAGAATTTTGCACGAGTCTCTATTTGGTTTCATTGCTGTTTAGGAGAAACATTTAAGATATTAAAGGGATAGTTCACCCCAAAATGAAAATGTGATGTTTATCTGCTTACCCCCAGGGCATCCAAGATGTAGGTGACTTTGTTTCTTCATCTCATTTGTGATTTCGTTGGGAATTTAGTGGCTTTACCTCATGTTAATGTGCCCACAGTTTGGTTTAAATATAAGTCAGTGCACACACACACACACACACACACACACACACGTAGATCTTTTCATATTTCTCTTTTTCATCACTACTCCCTCAATCCATCCGTCTTCACCAAGATGGAGCTGCAATTTCTGTGTGTGTGTGTGTGTGTGTGTGTGTTATATGGGTCTATTGGTCTGTTCTGGCTTTAGGCAGCGAGAACCCAGGTGCCAGGAGAGGTTTGAGAGGTGAAAGGTGTGTGTGTGTGTGTGTGTGTGTGTGTGTGTGTGAATGTGTGTGTGCATCCTGTGGTGCTTTAATATTTTGCTTGCAGTGCATTTTTCATGAATACCCCCACCTTATGAAATGTGATTTACATATTTCCACTGGAGAAAATGTTAATGAGGGCCCGGGCTGTCAAAACGTTTTGTCAGCGTTTGCATTTATTCCCGACACTGGATGGATGTGTGTCCAAACATAGTTTTATTCTTTTTAGCGCGTGACACATGCACATGCACGTCTTCAGTTTGACAGATTTATTTTGAGTGCATCATTTTAGTTTCTTTTTTATGAGGTCATCAATATTGTAATAAAAAAAATATATGTCTTAATGAAAGAGTTAAAGTTCCTTGTGGAGACTATTGTACATGCAACAGCAGGTCAGCATGGCTCGCCTTTACACGCATTATCTGAAAACCGTCCAAAGTAAAGCAAACATCTGACTGTTGTGTGGGCAGTAGCTGATAAGGAGGGAGATTCAGAGTAATAAATTACAGAGAGAGTTACAGAGAAGTCTGATAAATAATGGATGTGTGTGTGTGTGTGTGTGTGTGTGTGTGTGTGTGTGTGAGATAAATTTATGTGTAAGATAATAAACATATTTATCTGTTTATTTAATAAGCATATTATATATATATATATATATATATATATACACATACAATATATATATAGTGAAATAATCCTTTAATTTATTCTGATTTTAAAATGTACAAAATTTTACTCAAGCTTTGTTACTAATTACTAGTTTTACTCAGGTTTGTTTTTCTAATTCCTATTAATATTTAGTAAAATAATAATAGGAATTAGAAAAACAAACCTGAGTGAAACTTGATGAGAATGAGGTATTGTGTTAATTGACATGAAAATAGATTTTGATAGTTACTAATTTTATTATTATTTTGTTATTTTGTTATTTATTTATTTTTTTTCTGTAGTTTTGGAGTGAAATGTGAGCAGGACAGGCTTCCGTGAGTTTGTGATGATCAGGAAAGTCTTCTTCTCAGCTGCTGTCTGAATGTTATTAACGAGTCGATTCAGACCTGCATTTGTGTGTGTGTGTGTGTGTGTGACTGCTCAAATAAATTCATTATGTCTCACCTGAACTGGCTTTAGAGAGAAACCCTTCTAGAAACCCTTAGATCCAGTGACCGTGACAGGAAGTGATGTCAGATGTGTCTTCCTGTAGAGCTGAATGTCACGAGAGCAGACAGGAACATGTCCCGCTCATAATTCACCACAAAATCAATAGAAAGAAAGACTAAATTAGACTAAATTAACTGTTATTATAACAGATTGTTTGTGCATTTTGATATTTCACCACAGAATTCTCATTGTAATGCCATATATAATAAAAAGATAAATAAATGTCATTTTTTTTATTTATTTTTTATCAGCGTAAAATAAGGAAGAATTCACTTAATGTTTTTTAAAATAATTTAATTTTAAAATCTGAATAAATTAAATAAATAATATTTACTCAATGATAATTCACTCAAATATAGATAATAATAATGCTATCAAAATAATAAATAATATATCATTATATATTATATCATAATATAATAAAAATCATTAATATTTTTGAAAGAAATATAAAAAAAATTAATTGATCAAATAGATAAATTTATGTGTAAGATAATAAACATATTTATCTGTTTATTTAATAAGCATATTATATATATATATATATATATATATATACACATACAATATATATATAGTGAAATAATCCTTTAATTTATTCTGATTTTAAAATGTACAAAATTTTACTCAAGCTTTGTTACTAATTACTAGTTTTACTCAGGTTTGTTTTTCTAATTCCTATTAATATTTAGTAAAATAATAATAGGAATTAGAAAAACAAACCTGAGTGAAACTTGATGAGAATGAGGTATTGTGTTAATTGACATGAAAATAGATTTTGATAGTTACTAATTTTATTATTATTTTGTTATTTTGTTATTTATTTATTTTTTTTCTGTAGTTTTGGAGTGAAATGTGAGCAGGACAGGCTTCCGTGAGTTTGTGATGATCAGGAAAGTCTTCTTCTCAGCTGCTGTCTGAATGTTATTAACGAGTCGATTCAGACCTGCATTCGGACGCTTTTTAGTCTTTGTGTTGGCCGTCAGTCGTCGATGACAGATCTGCTGCTTTACTCGGTTCAGCGGAGCTTATTTTAAAGCGGTTTGTTTCTCTTTAAGTCACGAAGGCCTGTACGAATGGAGGCTCCTTTTATCAGCTGTTGACTTTGCGATAAATGAGCGTCTTTCATGCGCCGGCGTCACGAGGGCCACTTTGAAGTGAAGTTTGCTGAGCGTGTTTTGATTGAGCTCTCATTGTGAGTGGGAGAGGATTTGTGGAAGCGCAGAGAGAGAGGGGTTTTTTCACGGTGGGCGATTCAATAAAGCGTTTAGGAAGAAAGAGCCTGAGACAATGTAAAGACAGAAGCCGCATGTGCGTCGTTAATTACCGCCATTATAAAGTGCATAATGTTGTATTGTCTCTCCGTCATTAGAATTAGACCTGTGTGAATGTAAACATCACATTTATGTCACGCACGACCTGCATTACTGCGGGAAATATGAACGGCGTGAAGATGGTAGCTGTTTTTATTTAATATTAGGACACTTTGTTTTTCATTTGAGTGCAGATTTGAACAGGATTTATGAATAAATAGATGACTGAGATGAGTTTGTGAATGTGATTTCTGTCCTTCTCTCTGTAGATCTGGAAGACAGAGCGAGTTCGTCTTGGGGGAACGGAGTTCGTGCCACAAAGGTGAGTTTTTACACATTTATAAATGCTTTTGGTTTCAGTGTTCGGGTTCAAACCCTAGTGAGCCGTCTTGCTGTAGGCTCCCTACTTAGGCAGCTGACTTCTAAGGCAACATCCTAATTTAAAATGAAACTTCAGTTTCACAGATCAGACTTTGACTAATTTGACTAAATTGATGTCAATAGAGGTTGACGTTAATGTGTTTCTGAACTAATGATGCATTAACTCTAATTAGTATAAATAATACCTGCATATTATATTATATTATATTATATTATATAATTTATGTATTATATGGATTATTTATTTTGTCATTTATATATTTATTTATATTTATTATATATTTGTCAATTGTATTCCTCATTTAGATGTCGCTTTAGATGAAAGCTAAATTAATACATGAAAATTGATTGGGTTTATATTATATTATATTACATATCATATTTATATATCATGTATATATATATATTTTTTTATAATTATTATATATTTATCACTTGTTATATTTCTCATTTACATGTCACCTTGGATAAAAGCTAAATTAATAAATTAAATTGATTGTGTCATTTCAATTTATTATAATTATCTAATTGAAATTTGAATTGAAATTTTTTATATATTTTTTTTTCTTGAATTTCACTTCTTTTCTTTATTGTTTATAAACATCAGTATTTATTTCTATTTTAGATATAATGTAGTATTTATCATTTATCTAAGATTATTCATTTTAGCATTTATACTGTATATTTATTTCTATTTGTTATATATTTATGGCTTGTATTCCTCATTTATGTCGCTTTAGATAAAAGCTAAATGAATGAATGTAAATATAAATTAACTCTCGTTTTAATTCATGATATTTATCTTATTAAAACATATATACAGTATGTACAGTATACACATATTTTAAATTAGAGCTAATTCTGATTTTTTATTTTTCTCTTTAAAACAGACTCTATGTATTGTTTGCGCCATTAAACATATATTTATTTCTATTTTAGATATGATATAGAATACAATATAAACACCACTGCTGTCAGTAGAGGTTGACTTTAATGTGTTGCTGAACTAATAAACTCTAATTAAATAAAAATACATGCATATAGTGCACAAATATTGGGTGAAATAATTTTAATGTAGTTTTTTAATTGACATTATTAAGTCATAAATGAAATGTAAACATTTTAATTAGCGCTGTCAAATGATTAATCGAGTCATTATTCACATAATATATGTGTGTGTTCTGTGTATATATAAATACACATACATACAGTATGCATTTATTTATATTCATATAATTGATATTATATATAAATCTAAACATAATATATTTTTCTTAAATATATACATGCATGGGTGTGTATGTATATATACGTAATACATATACACAGTACACTCACATAAACTATGTAAACAAAAACTTTTATTTTGCATGCGATTAATCGCGATTTTAATACTTATAATGTTTCTCATCCTCCACCTTGGATGAGCATTTTTTGCATTTTGAACTAGTCGCAGTGCATTGTGGGATTGTTTGCGTCTTCAGAGTTGCATCTACATTATGTTATTTTGACATTGTTCCGCTTGAATTTGACGGCGATGTCTGAGAGGTCAAAGGTCGCTCTGATAGGGCCGTCAGCAGAATCGGCGATCAGAGGTGAATCAAGGACGTGCTTACGGAGCACTTTCTGCTCCACGCGTCTGCCGAATGCAGATGACTTCACAGCTTCACCCTTGTGTAAAACACTGTCTCTGTGAATGAACTTTCCCGAGCGCTTTATTCCCAGTGACCCACGCTCACACCTGAATGACAGTCGGAGGCTGCAGGTGTCTTTAGATTCCTAACAGTAATTTACCTCGAGAGCATGCATGAGACTGACATTGAGTCTTGAGAGTGTGGCCTGTGAACTCCTTTAATTTATGCCAGGTTTATTAATTACTTCTGAGTGAATTTGAATATTCAGTGAGGCCGGACAGGATTTATCCAGCATGATCTGATTGGATTATAATCTAAACTTTACACACTAAGGCAGGTGGTTGGACGGAAAGAAGCAATAATAATTGTATATTTGTGATGTCAGGTGGAAACTAAAGTCATTTCAGTGATGGAACAAGTTTTTGCAAAATAAGACCAATACTGAATATTAACTGTTAATAGGGCCAATGTTGACTTTTTAAAATACATGTAGTTTCTCTTGATTGTTTGTGCCATTAAGCACATCAATATTTATTATTTATTTTATTTTTTACATTTTATTTATAATGCATTCTAATTTATTTTATCATTTTTAAATTTCTCATTACAATTTATCTTACTGAACCATGTACAATATATACGGTATATATATATATATATATATTCTCTTTAAAATAAATGGAGTTTCACTCTTTATGGATTTTGCCATTAAACACATCAATATGTTTTTGTATTTGTAGCTATGATATGATATAATATATTATTGTTTATTTTATCCTTTATATGTTTATTGTGAAATTTTAATTAATTATATAATCTTTTAAACCATGTATAGGCTTAATATATAATATATTGTAATCTAATTTAATATAATATAATACTTATCATTTATGTATTATATGTTTTTTTCGGCTTTATAAGTCACAGAGTGACTTTATTCTTTTTTTTTTTACTTTTTTTAAAATAAATTTATACATTCACAATAGGGAAATACAAACATTATCAATGTATCACTTTTAAATATTAATATTAATAATAATAATAATATGTATCACTTTTAAATAATACAAATAATAAAAATAAAATAATAATAATAATAATGTATCACTTTTAAATAATAAAAAAGATATTATTAAATACATTACAGTATTGAACACTTGAAGCAAAAGGAATATATTTTATCATTTGACATAGATGAGTCCTATACATTCCCTATATGAAAACAATAATAGAATGCAAAAAAATAAAAGTATGTATTATCATTAATTTATATGTTGTAATTTATGAATTTGTGTCACTTTAATTCATATTTATCTTATTTAATTGTGTCTTTTTTAGAAGGTTATATAAAAGATATATCTTTTTGAATATAAAAACGAAATACATTTTTGAATAATATAATATATGATATGATATATGATATGATATGATATAAAGTACATGAATATATAAATGTATTTATAGAATACTATAAATACATAAATGCATAAAATAAATGTATTTCAAAACATTTGAGTATATATATTTTTCACTAGGGGATTCTCAATCATTTATATGCATATATTTGACCTTTAACCTTTGACCCCTGCAGAATTACGCTGACGGCTCTCAGTACGGTCACATGGCCAGTCGGGACCTGGGGTCACATGACAGCATCTCTCCGCCGTACACCAACTCCAGATTAGCAGGTAAGAGCTGGAGCGGAGCATGATGGGACATGCGATTGCTTATTGGCTTTATGATGTTTCATCGGCTTTCATTGTGAGCGAATTGTTCTTTTGATGATTCGGTTGAACCGGTTCACAGATTCATCTGAATGATTCGTTAGGGAGTCAGATTGAATCAGTCATTGATTCAGTGATCAGAAACGCTTGGAAGTGTGTGCTGGTTTGTGTGTTTCTGTCACACATCTCTGAGAGTGTGTGTGTGTGCAGTGCTGATGCTCATTTACCCAGAATGCTGTGCTGTGCCGCTGGCCGTCTCTGTCTCATCCAGTGAGCAAATGGTCAGTGATTCAGATAATCGGCCTCAGACTAATTAAGCCTGACTTAAAGCATGAAAAACTGTAATATGAGGCTGTTTGCCTCTCTCTCTATCGCTCTCTATCGCTCTCATTCTCTGTCATAAACATTGACTTTAAGGCAAAAACTTATTAGTATATAAGAAAATATTTTTTATTCTTTTGAGCATTGTGAAGTTATTTTACTGTATTATGTTTTATGAAACAGGAAGTTAGGGTGGAGTTTCTTTTTAAAATAGCCAGTAGAATTTAATTTGCATCACGGCTGTGAATCATGTTGAATCTGTCGTCAGTCAGTGGGAGGGGCATTCACATTCTAGAGAGCGTTTGATTGGACAAAATTTGCATACGAGTCATGAGTGCATGATGTCGTCGTCAGTATTTTGGTTCGTTTTTTACTTGGAAGAGAGAGACTGAAGGTTTTTTGTTGTTGTTGTTGTTTTGTTTTGTCAGCTTTTATTAGTACACTTGCACACAAACGAGCTCACAACTAACAGACGTGAACTAAGAGCCACAAAATCACTAATTATTAATAGAATTAACTTGGATCTGGCAGAAATTGCGTAATGATGCACAGCTTTTCTCTGAAATATGTGTGTATTGCACGTTAGTTTCTGACTCTCGGACGGTTGTTTGTTCGTGGCTCTCTGAGGTCAGGGCTTTGTCCTTCCACGTTTCCTTCCTGTGGAGCTCTGAGCAGACGGTGACATCACTTCCTGTGTCTGAAATCCGTCTCAGGCTCTACAGTGTAAAATCAAGAGGAAATCTTGCATTTAGAGAAAAAAGTACAGAAAAAAATTATTTGGTGAATATTAATAGAAGATACTTGGTTGTTTTATTACAACTTAAATCACATGCAGTCAGACCTCAAGTGTGAACGCAAAACGGTTTTTAAAATGTAAGTTGCTTGTTTTATATATGGGTCAAAGATGAAAATGTGCCTTTTTAAGCATCAAAACAATACAAGTTTAATATAGCTTTAATTAAAATTTATTTATTTATTTAAAGGTTTTGCCCATTTGTCAGCAGGAAGATTTTAATCAAGTCATATTAAAATATAATAAAATTTCATATGATCACTTTTTCAAAAATTAATTATTCGGCACATCATTTATTTAAATGTATGTATTTATTTTATTGTATGTAGAAATTGATGTATTTATTTCAAATGTATTTATTTATTAAATGTTTTATGTATTTTTTAACTTATAACTTATATTAGGGCTCTTAATTTATAAAAAAATATATGTATTTATTTTATTGTATGTATTGTGTAAAAATTGATGTATTTATTATTTATTTAGAATTTCCTCTAAGGCCGTCTGTAGGATAGTGAGAGGTAGAAAATGTCAGAGAAAATGAAATTGTCTTTGTACTAATGCAAGTTGCAAATAATGTTTATCACAGGTCTTATTTCACTCATAAACTGAAAAGCCCTTTATAAACAACCCATAGTTCATTTCAGAAAGTTTCAGTTTTAACCGATTCTCATTACAGCAGAGCTTCATTTTCTCAATTGTTGGGCACATAATAGATCTTTACTTTCACAAACCCTCGTGTGTTTGATCCTTATTGAATCTTCTGCGTCCGGTGACGTTGTGTGAGCTTTACCTGTATGTGATGTGAAGTCTCTCCTGCAAATGACCTGTGAGTCACCGTACATGCTGAGCACAGAGCAGAACGAGTGTGTGTGTGAGTGTGTGTGTGTGTTTGTTTGTGTGAGTGTGAGTGAGTGTGAGTGTGTGTCTGTGTGTCTGTGAGTGTGAGTGTGAGTGTGAGTGTGTGTGAGCAGGTGCAGTCCACACCAGCGCTGTTCTCCTCCTGTCATGTACCTGCTAAATGAAGCACACAAAAGTTCCAGACTGTAAGCAGGTTTGGTCTCTGCGAGGCCCAGTTAAGAAGCGCCGGATTCTTGTTGTCTCCTGCAAGCAGTTTTCCGACACAAATATTGCTGTTTATTCAGCAAACATTTTTTCCTGTCGGACTGCAGTATTTTATGCATATAGAGAAGTTTGTTTGAAAAGAGCTGACCTCTGTGATTGCTCATAATTTATTAGAGGACTTTTTTTTAAATGATGTGGAATATGAAAAAAAAAAGATGATAGTGACTGTTTCGTTTTCTGAACAACATTAGTTGAAGTCTATGATAAAAGTCATTATAGCACAGAATGTTATATATAGTAATTTATAATAATAATATATATGAATTAAATAATATATTTTAAGTATTATCAAATTATATTTGTTATTATATGTTATGTTTCATTTATTATTATTAGTTAATATTAATGTAATTTATAAATAAATTTATATCAGGATTTAACTATAACAATATTACATTTAGAGCACAAACATATGTAAGAGGTATTACAATTGTGTATTATTGTGCATATTTTTGTAAGTTTTTATCAAAATATAAATAGTTTTTCTAAATAAATGTTAGTATTATATTATATTTCTTTTGTTCATATTAAAGTATTAATCTATTTTATAAATAAATGAATATCAGGATTTTAATATAATGATAAGTTTTAGAGCTTAAAAACATGTAAATATTATTCAAATTATGTTTTATATTATTATCATTTCCTTTTTATAAAAATCTAAAATAAATAAATAAAAATTTACAATAACTAATGTAATAGATTAATACAAAAATTTATATTTATATTATAGTATGTTTTAATATTATTATAAAGTATTATTCATGTATTTGGCAAATAAATCAATATCAGGATTTTAATATTTGTTTTAAAGCTTAAACACATGTAAAGGTTCTTCTTATTGTTATTATTATTATTATTTTTTTTTAAATGTAAAATGAAACATATAATTTTTACAATAACTTTTTAAAAAAAGAATGTATTATATTATCATATTGTAAAATATTTAATTTGTTAATACTATTGTTAATTATTAGTCATGTATTTATTAAATAAATTAATGACATGATTGTATTATAATAATATTAATATAATACGATCAAACAATCTCACACACACACACACACACACACACACACTCACACACACACTCTCTCTCTCTCTCTCTCACCCACACACACTCTCACACACTCACACACACGCACTCGCACACATACTCTCTCACACACACACACACACACTCTCACACACACACACTCTCACACACACACTCACACACACACATTTTCACACACACACACACACACACACACATTTACACACACTCACACACACACACACACACTTTTACTTTACTTTTACTTTTAGTCATTTAGCAGATGCTTTTAGCTGAGCTTCATCGGTGGATCCGTCATAATTCTACAGAGACATTCAGGTGTAAATTGACCATACACTCAAATCTAAAGAGATCCGTTCACAACAGACGCCACTAACACAGCTCAGCTCATCCCTCGTCAACATTTACCATGCTAACCATTAGGACTGCATGATAAAGTGACCAAAAGTTATTTATCTACTTTATTTTTTAGCTTTTTGACATTTGTTTAATGGTATAATTTTTTCTTTAAATATTTATTCTCTCTCTCTCTCTCTCTCTGAAATGGCTTAAAATTGTAAATTTTAAAACTATATATTTAATTAAATAAATTATTCATTCTAATTTAATTCTACTTAATTGATTATTTATTAATTATAATGCATTCATTCATTCATTCATTTATTCATTCTTTTTTAAATTACAGAATGCTTCATTTTGACCATGTATCCAAACTGATCAAAAAAAAAACAACAACAACAAGTGTAAAAGCAAGTAAATGCATAATAATAATAATAATAATAATAATAATAATAATGGGCAAATCCAAGTTCATCAAATTCATAACAGTGTTATAGGATTAAATCATCAAAAACAGAATCAAATCAAAGACAGAATATTATTATTTATATAGTTATGTTAATTATCTTAAAATGATTTCTGGGAGTGTTTATTTTTTGTTTGACTTCATTTAATTATTATAATTTTTAAATATTTTATTAGATATCCTGGTTGCTCATTTATTAATTTCTGTTTAATTGCTTTAATTTAAATTTTTGTTATAGTCCAAAATTCACAGTGTATATATATATATATATATATATATAAAATAGTCACAATATTATTATTTATATAGTTATGTTAATTATCTTAAAATGATTTCTGGGAGTGTTTATTTTTTGTTTGACTTCATTTAATTATTATAATTTTTAAATATTTTATTAGATATCCTGGTTGCTCATTTATTAATTTCTGTTTAATTGCTTTAATTTAAATTTTTGTTATAGTCCAAAATTCACAGTGTATATATATATATATATATATATAAAATAGTCACATAGTCACACCATGGTATTTTCATGGTATCAGAAATCTAAACTGCAGGAATTGGTGTAAAATCGCTCTTCAGAGTGCATTAGTGGCATTTTGTTTTCCAGATGCAGTTGTGTTTGTCTGAAGGACTGTAAATGCTGTGTTTTATGGAGGTCTGGCCTCTGGAATGCAGGCGGAGAAACAGGAATTCTGGAGGAATCCTGATATTCCTGAGAGAGAGAGAGAGCGTCTGATTGGTCCACAGCTTTAGGACACACCCCTAAACTCTGACCAGTCACTAACCAGTTAATCAGAGACTAGAGTAAAACAAATGATTATTGATGTTATGATGTTAATTACTTCACAGTGAGTGCTGGG